CTAAATGCTCTGCCACCAACAGTGACCTTTGAGACCTTAGGGACCACCAGACGTCTGGCGTTTTGTGAGCGCAACGCTCGACCTGGTTGATACGACACTAACGTGTCTTGGAGATAAGAAGGAGCCAAGCCATTTATGGCTTTATATGTTAAGAGAAGGATTTTAAACTTTATTCTGTACTCCACAGGGAGCCAGTGGAGTGATTTTAACACCGGAGTTATGTGCTCCCTCCACTAGCACTCCCTCCAGTACTACTACTACTACTACTAATACTACTGCTACTACTACAACTACTACTACTGCTGCTGCTACTGCTACTACTACTAATACTACTGCTACTACTACTAATACTACTACTACTACTGCTGCTAATACTACTACTACTACACCTGCTACCACTACTACTACTGCTGCTGCCAATTCTACTACTAATACTACTGCTATTTATTTATTGTTTATTTGGTTGGGACAGTACATGTTCATGAACACATCCTCCAGATTGTAGCCTTGGGCTGATTTGTATCCCACTTTCACACTCACAAACACACACTCATTCATCTTGAACCTTGAACTATTGCATGTGTTTTTAGTGCTCCTACTGTAAGCGTGTGCATGCGAGTGTGCATGAGAGTGTGCATGCGAGTGTGCATGAGAGTGTGCATGAGAGTGTGCATGAGAGTAGACTGTGTGAACGTTGAAGAATTTGAACTGGCCGGGAAGAAGAGAAAAATGGTCGAGTTGTGCTGTTCACGCTACAAACGGAGACTGGTTATCATTGACTCTCCAAAGATAATTCCTACCCGGGCTTGCACGTTACACTACTACTAATACTACTTCTGCTACTGCTACTACTGCTACTACTACTACTGCTCCTACTACAACTACTGCTTCTGCTGCTGATACTCCTACTACTGTTAAATGTCTATTATGTGTACTTATACATCAGGATTGTATTAATAGTTTTTATGCATGCCTTTACACCTTTACTTCACTCTGCAGGGGGCGAAGTGGTCAACTGCGTTTGTTTGTGAGCAACTAGAGCCGGAAAAAATAAGTCTAAAAAATAATAAGTAGAGACTAGGTAATTATTGACTCAAAATAAATCACATAAAAATATTAGATCTGAGAGGAGGGGATTTTTATTTATTTATTTTTTGTCAAAAAAGAATTGACACCCAAACAAAACACACAATTGTTTTTACACCTTCTGATCTGTGGTCACGAGAGACTGAGGAGAAGAGTTATTTGGAAACACAGCAGACCCTCAGCAGTAGTGCTCTGTCGCCCTCTGGTGGAGAGCAGAGAGAATGCAAGAGGAAAGCAGCCAGCAACTGAACAAAGCCTTTCCAACTGATTTAGACCAGAGAAAGACCAGAGCGAGGCCAGAGAAAGACCAGAGAGAGACCAGAGAAAGAGACCAGAGAGAGACCAGAGAAAGACCAGAGAGAGACCAGAGAAAGAGACCAGAGCGAGACCAGAGAAAGAGACCAGAGCGAGGCCAGAGAAAGAGACCAGAGAGAGACCAGAGAGAGACCAGCGAGAGACCAGAAAAAGACCAGAAAAAGACCAGAGAGAGACCAGAAAGAGACCAGAGCGAGGCCAGAGAAAGACCAGAGAGATGCCAGAGAGAGACCAGAGAGAGACCAGAGAGAGACCAGCGAGAGACCAGAAAAAGACCAGAAAAAGACCAGAGAGACCAGAGCGAGGCCAGAGAAAGAGACCAGAGCGAGGCCAGAGAGACACAAATGCACCATTAAGATGGATCGGGCAGGTCCCTGTGACTGTTCCAAGGTCGAGGCTCCGGATGAAAGGAGACCGAGCCTTCTCTGTCCGGGCTCTTGGCTTTGGAAAGACCTGCCCGAGGAGATAAGGCTAGCACCATCAGTATCACTTCTTAAAACCCACTTTTATAAAACAGCTTTTAATTGTCAGCTTTTAAAACTTCTCATGTCGTATTTTATTGTCTGTCCTGTCTTTGTTTGTCTTCTTGTGTTTCCTCTGCTTGTCTTGTCTTCTTGTATTCTATCTTATTGTTTTTACTTTGTATTATGACTGATTTATTGTTTATTATGCTGACTGTGCAGCGCTTTGTAAACATTGTTTTTGAAAAGTGCTATACAAATAAAGATTGACTATATTTTAGATTGAATTTTTGTGCAACAAGGAAGAGAATGTGTTTTGGGTCCAGATTTTGACCAATCACAGCAGACCACTGGCCCCCACTTTCTTGCCACAGGTCTCTTCTTGGCACAGACAGCTGAGGTAAACAAGCGGCGGAGGCTAACCTGAAACTTCCCGTGTCTTCGTTACTGCTTACTCAGCGAAACAGCCAAAAGAAAGTCTTGTCCTCTGCTCTTCCCAGTTCTATCATTCTATGGTCACGCCACCTTCAAATGTGCGATCTATATTGTGAGACGCCAGCTCCGTAAACAACGATACTGCTTCTGTCTGGAGGGGCCTACAGACAGAAGGCCCCCTCCACAGTCCATCACCTCCTCCACCACCTCCTCCATCACCTCCTCCATCACCTCCTCCATCACCTCCTCCGTCACCTCCTCCATCACCTCCTCCATCACCTCCTCCATCACCGTGTGGTTGGCTGGAGCCACAGTCAGGGACAAACAGAGACTACAGTGCATTGTGCGCTCTGCAGAGGAAGTGATCGGCCGCAGCCTTCCATCGCTGCAGGACCTGTACGTCGCCCGAGCTCGAGGCCGGGCTGGTCGTATCACAGCCGACCCCTCTCACCTGCACATGGACTATTCCAACCACTCCCCTCTCACCTGCACATGGACTATTCCAACCACTCCCCTCTCACCTGCACATGGACTATTCCAACCCCTCCCCTCTCACCTGCACATGGACTATTCCAACCACTCCCCTCTCACCTGCACATGGACTATTCCAACCACTCCCCTCAGGCAGGAGGCTGCGGTCCATCAGGACTAGAACCTCCCGCCACAAGAACAGTTTCTTCCCCTCTGCTGTTGGACTCTTGAACACTTCTTAACCTGTCCCCCCGCCCTTTATAAAGTCACTTTACTGCCCATCATACGTCACTTTACTTCACTGTACTGCTGTCACCTTACATTGTGTGCACCATGTGCACTTGTATATTGTATATAGTAACTGTAACTCTATTTTACCGTGCCCGGTGCCGACCCGTGGTCGGCTAGTGGCTGGCGGAACTGCGGCCCGGTCCCGGGGGAGAAGAGCGGAGGCCAGTGGGGACGGACTCTGGGCTTTTATCATCTTTTTAATGAACCTTTTTGTAAATGTTTTATTAAATGTTATCCCCTTCTGCGTTTTATTGATCACACCCCCTCAACAGACACTTTTAAACCTGTGACATCTTCTCTACCCTTACCTCTCTGACTGTTGCACTGAGCCAAAGCAAGTCTGTGACTTGCACATGAGCACAGGCTGAGTGGGAGGGGGGTTGTGGTGGGGGGCGAAAGCTTTGTGAGTGTGGGGAGGGGAGCAGAAAGAGCGAGCTCAGTCACAAAGTGAGTTAGTCCAGCTTTAACTTGTTTGACTTATTACACTTGTAGTAGCATTGGAAAAACTACAGAAACCAGAATTAGGAACTGGAACCCCCACCCCACCCTTCCCATAGTTTGGTTTGTGTTTAGCCTGTTAGCTCCCTGTTAAAGAGACAGCGAAATGCTGAAATCGAAACAAGCTTCTGAACGGATGAGTCCACTGACGAGACCAAAGTTATCTGTGAGTTTTGTTGGTGTAAACTACTTATTACCGCAGCACATCCACTTTGAAATACACCTGATGCTTAAGACAGGGCTACATAGTCATAGGACCGTAGTTACATTAGGTAACTGGAGTTTCTCCGCCATGTTCTTGTCAAGACCTCTGGATCATAGACTGTATATATTAATGGACAGAGTCTATCGCCTATCTCCGCCGTTCATTGGCCATGAAAAGTGCTTTCATGGAGCAATCCAAGATGGCCGCGAGTGGTCCCGCCCACAAGAAAATTGTGAAAAAACGCATCTCAGATTCAGATTCAGATTCAGATTCATTTATTTGCCATTCGCAGTAAAACCACATTGGAAAAACTGTGCAAGACTACCCCGGTGTGCACCTTTTTTGGGAAAGAATGTCTCGGACTCTCGGATTATAAATACAACAGCCCCACAGGAGGAGGTGGACCGGCTGGTGTCCTGGTGTCTCCTACAGGAGGGAGGTGGACCGGCTGGTGTCCTGGTGTCTCCTACAGGAGGAGGTGGACCGGCTGGTGTCCTGGTGTCTCCTACAGGAGGAGGTGGACCGGCTGGTGTCCTGGTGTCTCCTACAGGAGGAGGTGGACTGGCTGGTGTCCTGGTGTCTCCTACAGGAGGAGGTGGACCGGCTGGTGTCCTGGTGGACAAAAGGAGCTGGTCCATTCAAATGAATGGACCTGTCAGCCGGCGCAGCTCCATTCATTTGAACGACAGACAAAAATTCCCCGCGAGTAAACTAGAGTGGACCAAAAACAATCACCCCCCTCAGCATTGACACACATGTTGAACGGAGCTTTGGGCCAAGAGCCAACTTTTGGTCCATCCTGTAAAGACGTTTTCCAGAGGTCTGCCAATGCTATATGTTAGCATTGGCTAATTCTTCTTCTGGGTCCACCCCCAACGGCTCGGGGTGGTACTGCAGCATGTCAGCGCACGTCATTTTGGGCACTTTTGAGCTGGGACCCTCCCCCACTGCTCTGGATACATGGGTCTATAATAAAAACGTATGGAATAAACTGTTGGCACTTTGCTACTTCCTTTTGTATCTCCCTGATTTGATGATCAGAAAGGGAAGTTGAAGGGTTTTTTTTGTTTCCAATTATACATGTGATACATTTGTTCATAAAAGATGCAGTCAGTGATTTTTTCCAGATGCATTTTTAAAAATATATATATTGTGGGGAAACGTCCCTAAACCCTAAAACTAGTCAAGTTATAATGTGTTTTCAAATAGTATTGGAATTGACCAGATGCCTATATTTTCTAAAAACTGGTTTGGTTGAGAGGCGAGGGGAGAGTGGTTTGGTGGAGAGGGAGGGGGGGAGTGGTTTGATGAGGGAGGGGGGGTAGTGGTTTGATGAGGGAGGGGGGAGTGGTTTGATGAGGGAGGGGGGGGTAGTGGTTTGATGAGGGAGGGGGGAGTGGTTTGATGAGGGAGGGGGGGTAGTGGTTTGATGAGGGAGGGGGGGGTGGTTTGATGAGGGAGGGGGGGTAGTGGTTTGATGAGGGGGGGGGGGTGGTGGTAGTGGTTTGATGAGGGAGGGGGGGGTAGTGGTTTGATGAGGAGGGGGGGTAGTGGTTTGATGAGGGAGGGGGGGTAGTGGTTTGATGAGGGGGGGGGGGGGGTAGTGGTTTGATGAGGGAGGGGGGTAGTGGTTTGATGAGGGAGGGGGGGTAGTGGTTTGATGAGGGAGGGGGGGTAGTGGTTTGATGAGGGAGGGGGGGTAGTGGTTTGATGAGGGAGGGGGGGGGGGGTAGTGGTTTGATGAGGGAGGGGGGGGGGGTAGTGGTTTGATGAGGGAGGGGGGGGGGGTTTGATGAGGGAGGGGGGGTAGTGGTTTGATGAGGGAGGGGGGTAGTGGTTTGATGAGGGGAGGGGGGGGTAGTGGTTTGATGAGGGAGGGGGGGGGGGGTAGTGGTTTGATGAGGGAGGGGGGTAGTGGTTTGATGAGGGAGGGGGGGTGGTTTGATGAGGGAGGGGGGGTAGTGGTTTGATGAGGGAGGGGGGGGTAGTGGTTTGATGAGGGAGGGGGGGGGTGGTTTGATGAGGGAGGGGGGGTAGTGGTTTGATGAGGGAGGGGGGGTAGTGGTTTGATGACGGAGGGGGGGGTAGTGGTTTGATGAGGGAGGGGGGGTAGTGGTTTGATGAGGGAGGGGGGGGGGGTAGTGGTTTGATGAGGGAGGGGGGGTAGTGGTTTGATGAGGGAGGGGGGAGTGGTTTGGAGTTGGTGCTACGGCTATGCTAACAAAATCACTTACTGCACCTTTAACAGGTCGTATTGTAATTTTGCATCAAGTGTGAAATAAAATACTTGATGCAAAAAAATCAGTCGTTGGACGGTACAGTCAGAATGTGCTCAAATTGGCCTCTTGTTTTGCCTCACTTCTTGCGGTGCACTGTCACGCCTCTAACCTGTGACTCACGGTCCTTCTTTCCTCGTCCTCAGGCTGAGTTTACACGGAGACAATGTGGCAGTAAAACGCTATAGTTGGATGTCGGTTGCTACCAAGCGTTCATACGAAGACTGTGTTCCAGGTGAAAACGTAAGTGTTCAGATCCAGCCTCAGAGTGGGACAGCTCAGATACGCTGCACAGCGGGGGCTCTTTCACACCCGCGAGAGGGAAAAGGTGTGAAATCCCCCTCTGCTCTGACCCCCACCTCCTGCTGCTCCCCAGACGTACATTTGGACATGTGCAGTAGCGGAGAACAAACATAAACAATAATGGCGGCCGGTAAACTAACTAGCTACGTGGGCTTCGAGCACAGCACAGAGGATAATTCTACTCCTTCGTTCGTCCAAACGAGACCACGCGAAGCTCTAGGTTCAGTTTCCATTTTCACAGCTGCTGTTAAAATGCAGAATGATGTTGGTACTTTCTGAGGGTCTGGCACAGGAAGTGAGTACACTGCCGAGAGGGGGGCTGGGCACGGGGCTGGGGGTCGTGTGAGTGTTGTAAAGTTTCTCTGCCCACTACTGGCCGAGCGCTAGAACTACATCGTTTTTCAACCTCATGTGAACGCTGAGAAATTTGCATTAGGAGCCAGGTCGTTTCTGTTAATAGCCTGGACACGTCTGCGCAGCGTCTCAGTATAAACAGGGCCTTAGTTTGACGTTCTGTTGAGTTCAGCCTTAAAGAGAGACTAAACACCTGTGCCCAGCCTGACTCCGCCCACATGAACATTTGAAAATTCTGGCCCCGTCCCAATACTCACACTTCCAACCTCGCGCCCCTCATTTGCGCGTTCCCAATAAAGGGTGCGAGTGCGTAGGGTGTCCCAATTCTCCAGGGAGGTCTTTGGCCCCGCCCGCTTTGCTTCCCTGATCCACACTTCGCCGTAGCCTGCACAAGCCCCGGCGATCCAAGATAGCGCCCTATTCAAATGAATGGTTGTGCTCAGTGGCGCTTTGTGACGGCGTGGGGGCTCAAGGATTAGCGGAAGTCGCCTGGAACTCGCAAAGATCTATGGGAAACTCTCAACGATCTATGGGAAACTCTCAAAGATCTATGGGAAACTCTCAAAGATCTATGGGAAACTCTCAAAGGTCTATGGGAAACTCTCAAAGATCTATGGGAAACTCAACGATCTATGGGAAACTCTCAAAGATCTATGGGAAACTCTCAAAGATCTATGGGAAACTCTCAAAGATCTATGGGAAACTCTCAAAGATCTATAGGAAACTCTCAAAGATCTATGGGAAACTCTCAAAGATCTATGGGAAACTCTCAAAGATCTATGGGAAACTCTCAAAGATCTATGGGAAACTCTCAAAGATCTATGGAAACTCTCAAAGATCTATGAGAAACTCTCAAAGATCTATGGGAAACTCTCAAAGATCTATGGGAAACTCTCAAAGATCTATGGGAAACTCTCAAAGATCTATGGGAAACTCTCAAAGATCTATGAGAAACTCTCAAAGATCTATGAGAAACTCTCAAAGATCTATGAGAAACTCTCAAAGATCTATGGGAAACTCTCAAAGATCTATGGGAAACTCTCAAAGATCTATGGGAAACTCTCAAAGATCTATGGGAAACTCTCAAAGATCTATGGGAAACTCTCAAAGATCTATGGGAAACTCTCAAAGATCTATGGGAAACTCTCAAAGATCTATGGGAAACTCAAAGATCTATGAGAAACTCTCAAAGATCTATGAGAAACTCTCAAAGATCTATGGGAAACTCTCAAAGATCTATGAGAAACTCTCAAAGATCTATGGGAAACTCTCAAAGATCTATGAGAAACTCTCAAAGATCTATGAGAAACTCTCAAAGATCTATGGGAAACTCTCAAAGATCTATGGGAAACTCTCAAAGATCTATGGGAAACTCAAAGATCTATGAGAAACTCTCAAAGATCTATGGGAAACTCTCAAAGATCTATGAGAAACTCTCAAAGATCTATGAGAAACTCTCAAAGATCTATGGGAAACTCTCAAAGATCTATGGGAAACTCTCAAAGATCTATGGGAAACTCTCAAAGATCTATGGGAAACTCTCAAAGGTCTATGGGAAACTCGCAAAGATCTATGGGAAACTATGGGAAACTCTCAAAGATCTATGGGAAACTCGCAAAGATCTCTGGGAAACTCGCCTGTATTTGGGCATCGTCTGGTCCTCCCGGTTCTGTGCAGTGGATGATCTCCCATAATGCATTGCACCAAACACGCGTGTGTGGGTCTCACGCACGTGCACAGAGGGGCTCGGCTCTGACCAATCAGAGCAGTTCATCAGAGCGGGAGTTAGAGCGAGAGCCAGACGAGCAGAGTTTGTGGCACTAAAGTGTGGATTTAAACAAAACCGAAGGATTTAAGAAGAAAAAAAGTTCAGGACGACAAGGGACACTAAAATCCCCACAAAATCCGACCTTTATGAAAGCTGTAGGTTCTCTGTCAGGTTCTCTGTCAGGTCAGGTCGTGCTGTTTGAACATGTCTGGGTAGCCCACGTGAATTTAGTCTGGTTCAGTCTGCAGTACCGCGAGAATCCCCCGAGCACATGAGTTATTCAGCTCCAAGCTAGTAATACCGTATCTAGTTATTATAATAGATCCATGAGCCTGCATCTATGCGCACTCTGGCGAAGGATATTGCCCATAATTCTTTGCGGTACAAACCAAAACGTCGGGAAAATGCATTTAAATATACATTTTGAAATATATATGCAGTATGTGTGTAAATAAGTTTTGCTATGTTACTTGGAAAGAAGCATAAACGTCTGATGAAGAATTACGGACATTGTGTTTTAACAATTTAATAACTTTTTAAAGCAAGCGTTTAAAAAGTAACTTTACACTTAGTACAATAGTCTTTACACTTAGTACAATAGTCTTAGAATGTATAAAAACTGACCAGATAGTTAGTTACCCACATTTAACTTAAAATTATACAGCTATCTCTAATTAAAAACAATGTGTGAAGCAATTAATTTTGTTTCCCAAAGGGTCAGACAAAATGACCTTTAATGTTTATAAAGTTTAGGTCTGAAAATGACCATCTCTGACGAGTCGATGACGTAACCTGCACTCAGTGCACTGTCCCAATTCTGCCTTTTGTGCACACTTGTAACCTGCGCACTCCAACCCTGGTGTGCACTTCGAACAAATGCACACCCACTGACGTCACACACACCAACTGACGTCACACACACCAACTGACGTCACACACAAAGTGACATCACACACATACCAACTGACGTCGCACACATACCAACTGACGTCGCACACACCAACTGACGTCACACACACCAACTGACGTCACACACACCAACTGACGTCACACACACCAACTGACATCACACACACCAACTGACGTCACACACACCAACTGACGTCACACACAAACTGACATCACACACATACCAACTGACGTCGCACACATACCAACTGACGTCGCACACACCAACTGACGTCACACACACCAACAGACGTCACACACACCAACTGACGTCGCACACACCAACTGACGTCGCACACACCAACTGACATCACACACACCAATTGACGTCACACACACCAACTGACGTCACACACACCAACTGACGTCACACACACCAACTGACGTCACACACACCAACTGACGTCGCACACACCAACTGACATCACACACACCAACTGACGTCACACTGTACCAACTGACGTCGCACACTCCAACTGACGTCGCACACACCAACTGACGTCGCACACACCAACTGACGTCGCACACACCAAGTGACGTCGCACACACCAAGTGACGTTGCACACACCAACTGACGTCGCACACACCAAGTGACGTCGCACACACCAACTGACGTCGCACACACCAACTGACGTCACACACACCAACTGACGTCACACACACCAACTGACATCACACACAAACCAACTGACGTCACACACACCAACTGACGTCACACACACCAACTGACGTCACACACACCAACTGACGCCGCACACACCAACTGACGTCACACACACCAACTGACATCACACACATACCAACTGACGTCACACACATACCAACCGACGTCACACACACCAACTGACATCACACACACACACCAACTGACGTCACACACACCAACTGACGTCGCACACACACCAACTGACGTCACACACACCAACTGACATCACGTACATACCAACTGACGTCACACACACCAACTGACGTCACGCACACACCAACTGACGTCGCACACACACCAACTGACATCACACACACCACACACACCAACTGACGTCACACACACCGACTGACGTCACACACACACCAACTGACGTCGCACACACACCAACTGACGTCGCACACACACCAACTGACGTCACACACACCAACTGACGTCGCACACACCAACTGACGTCACACACACATCAACTGACGTCACACACACACACAAACTGACGTCACACACACACCAACTGACGTCACACACACACCAACTGACGTCACACACACCGACTGACGTCACACACACACCAACTGACGTCGCACACACACCGACTGACGTCACACACACACCAACTGACGTCGCACACACACCAACTGACGTCGCACACACTAACTGACATCACGCACATACCAACTGACGTCACACACACCAACTGACGTCACGCACACACCAACTGACGTCGCACACACACCAACTGACATCACACACACACCTACTGACGTCACACACACACCAACTGACGTTGCACACACACCAACTGACGTCACACACACCAACTGACGTTGCACACACCAACTGACGTCACACACACACACCAACTGACGTCACACACACACCAACTGACGTTACACACACCAACTGAGGTCACACACACACCAACTGACGTCGCACACACCAACTGAGGTCACACACACCAACTGACGTCACACACACCAACTGACGTCGCACACACACCAACTGACATCACACACAAACCAACTGACGTCGCACACACCAACTGACATCACGCACATACCAACTGACGTCACACACACCAACTGACGTCACGCACACACCAACTGACGTCACACACACCAACTGACGTCACGCACACACCAACTCTCGTCGCACACACACCAACTGACGTCACACACACCAACTGACGTTGCACACACCAACTGACGTCACACACACACACCAACTGACGTCACACACACACCAACTGACGTTACACACACCAACTGAGGTCACACACACACCAACTGACGTCGCACACACCAACTGAGGTCACACACACCAACTGACGTCACACACACCAACTGACGTCGCACACACACCAACTGACATCACACACAAACCAACTGACGTCGCACACACCAACTGACATCACGCACATACCAACTGACGTCACACACACCAACTGACGTCACGCACACACCAACTGACGTCACACACACCAACTGACGTCACGCACACACCAACTCTCGTCGCGCACACACCAACTGACGTCACACACACCAACTGACGTCACGCACACACCAACTGACGTCACACACACACCAACTGACGTCACACACACACCAACTGACGTCACACACACACCAACTGACGTCACACACACCGACTGACGTCACACACACACCAACTGACGTCGCACACACACCGACTGACGTCACACACACACCAACTGACGTCGCACACACACTAACTGACGTTGCACACACTAACTGACATCACGCACATACCAACTGACGTCACACACACCAACTGACGTCACGCACACACCAACTGACGTCACACACACCAACTGACATCACACACACACACACAACTGACGTCACACACACACCAACTGACGTCGCACACACACCAACTGACGTCGCACACACACCAACTGACGTCACACACACCAACTGACGTCACACACACCAACTGACGTCACACACACACCAACTGACGTCGCACACACCAACTGACGTCACACATACCAACTGACGTCACACACACACCAACTGACGTCGCACACACCAACTGAGGTCACACACACCAACTGACGTCACACACACCGACTGACATCACACACACACCAACTGACGTCACACACACACCAACTGACGTCGCACACACCAACTGACGTCACACATACCAACTGACGTCACACACACACCAACTGACGTCGCACACACCAACTGAGGTCACACACACCAACTGACGTCACACACACCAACTGACGTCACACACACCAACTGACGTCACACACACCGACTGACATCACACACACACCAACTGACGTCGCACACACACCAATTGACGTCGCACACACACCAACTGACGTCGCACACACACCAACTGACGTCACACACACCAACTGACGTTGCACACACCAACTGACGTCACACACACCAACTGACGTCGCACACACCAACTGACGTTGCACACACCAACTGACGTCACACACACACCAACTGAGATCACACACACCAACTGACGTCACACACACCAACTGACGTCGCACACACACCAACTGACGTCACACACAAACCAACTGACGTCGCACACACCAACTGACATCACGCACATACCAACTGACGTCACACACACCAACTGACGTCACGCATACACCAACCGACGTCACACACACCAACTGACGTCACGCACACACCAACTCTCGTTGCACACACACCAACTGACGTCACAAAAAAACCAACTGACGTCGCACACACCAACTGACGTCGCACACATCAACTGACGTCGCACACACCAACTGACGTCGCACATACGCCAACTGACGTTGCACACACGCCAACTAACGTTGCACACACCAACCAACGTCGCACACACCCACCGACGTCGCACACACCAACCGACGTCACACACACCAACTGACGTCGCACACACCAACTGACGTCACACACACCAACTGACGTTGCATACACCAACTGACGTCACACACACCAACTGACGTCGCACACACCAACTGACGTCACACACACAAACTGACGTCACACACACCAACTGACGTCACACACACACCAACTGACGTCACACACACAAACTGACGTCACACACACAAACTGACGTCACACACACCAACTGACGTCACACACACACCAACTGACGTCACACACACAAACTGACGTCACACACACCAACTGACGTCACACACACACCAACTGACGTCACACACACCAACTGACGTCGCACACACCAACTGACATCACACATCACTCCAGAACCGATGAGAGGCCAAATGTAGTGCCACCAAAAAGGCAGAGAGGGCGCCACACAGACAGTTTTAGGCTCAAAATGGAGATTGTATTAATTTGCAAAAGAATGTCAAAACAATGACCAGGACATGAGCACTATAAGAAACATTTAAGCAGTTTATGAGTAAAAAAAAAAAAAAATTTGGTGTTTAGTCGTCCTCTTAACACCCACCGGCGCGCCGGCGTGCCGTTTTTATGTTTTTAAATGTTCTGCTGGCAATAGCAGATGTATTTTGAACACCAAACCCCAAAAGCTGTATATCATTTTAAAGCTTATTTTCTTATCTACATTTATCTACAAGTGTAAACTACATCAGACTTTGCATTCAAAAGATATAACACATAATGTGGGCACAAAATAAATCAATTCCGAAATAGTTTTTTACATTTGGGCTTGTGCTGTACAAATAAATCAGCTCTCCTCCCAGCTTGCAATACATCATTCTCTCTGGAACAGTCCAAAGGAAAATTATATCCACTTGTATTTCCCAAAGTAAAATCCATTCTGCAGAAATAATCCAAAAATGTGCATTTATCTTTAGCAAAAAAAACAAAAAAAACGAGCACAGATGTTGCTTTTTCACTTTTAACGGCCTTTTAGCTTTGTTTTTCACCCGAACATCTGGTATCCACGTGTTCCTTAGCTCCTTATCTTTCAAATGAGACTACTCCCGAAAAGCTAGACCAATGTTTGGGTCTGCAAGAGCTCCCGTGAGTACAGCTAGCGCTGCTGTTTGCGCATGGATCACTGATCGTTGTTGTCTTCCCTTCTTGTTTGCTTCTATTTCCGGGATTTTTGATTGACATGTCCGTGTAGCCAATGAGGAAAGCTTTCGAGCAAGGGATGGGACAATGGTGTCCTGTCTTATGTTGTGCCTGTAGAATTGTGCGTAATGGCAGCCAAAAGACGCTCTCGAAGCTGCAATGAATTTACACATTAAAAAATAACTTTGACATTAAAAAAAAAAACACACACATAGCTTAGTAACTTATAAGTACCAATAATAAAAAATATTGTTTTTATGATGATTAAATGTAAGTAAAGGTATTTGGCACAATTTGGCACACTTGTGCCAAATTGTGCCAAATGTGCACTACTTGATGAAAAGGAGAAACTGCATAAAAACTATAAAACTTAGAAGTCTGAAACTTTAGACAGTTGTTGCCAACAACACAATGACCACAGGGTTTGAATATTGTGAACTTACAATGAAGTATGCCATTTTTAGGGCCTTTAGAAATTGAAAATGTTAGGCGAGGCTAAAAAAATTGGGTTTTTTTCCCAAACTTCAAAGGATGCAGAGGGAAATAGGAATGACAAATTTTACATAAACTAGAAGGCTCTAGCTTTAAAATGATGCATCACACAAGCATGTGAGATGTAAGATGTGTTTTTAAATAAGCAAAGACATTTGGGTATGCCCAACTTTTGTGCACGAGCCAAAATGAGGCGGCTGGAAGGAGATCGAGACGAGCTCCTCTGGCAGAATCCTATCACTGCACCACTCTATCAAGCACACTGTAATGTCTCCATTTAAAACAACAAAAAACTAGTGAATAAAAAGACAAAATAAACGGACAAATCATTTATTCAACATTAATCTGAGACGATCGATCCATTCATTTTGAAACGGGACCAAAACGATTCCAAACAAGTCAGTCACCAAATGCTAAAGCTCAGATGTGGTTTATTGTTGACTGAAAGTATGACTCGAACGGGCAGAGCAGGCCACTTCTGATCAATAAAACTAATATGTGCCCCCCCTTCAGAAAAAACAGGTAAAAAAAAAACACTCGATTCAAGCAATTATCTTAAATTGATTGAATTCTGACTGTGTTAAAAGCAGATTCTCTCCATTTAATCTATTAATTTTTTTGACTCATTCTAAAAGGAGTCATTTCTGTTTCTTTTTGAAAACAAGATCATTTTGCTTTGTCCCGTTGGAGAATCCTGTTTTAACGGCAGTCAATATGTGCTCCTCTTATTAAAGATACATTTTACCAAATTTAAGCAATTTCAGATTTGTTTTTCATCACTTTGAAAAGAAAGCGACAGAAAGCGAAGAGGGCGACAGTAGCTCAGTTGGTAGAGCATTGGCCTTAAGGCCAGAAGGTTGTGGGTTCAATTCCCACCTCTGCACCTTCTCCATCGACTCCCACTGATGACTGCTGTCGTTGTGTCCTTGGGCAAGACACTTAACCCCACTTTGCCCAAAGCCCCCACTGAAAGATCAAGGCTACTCAGACTCACACTCAGAGAGCAGCCGTCCTCCTGTGGACTCACCACCTGCAGAGGGTCAGTGAGGGGCTGGTGCTATGAGACTTGGGTGGCATCTCTGACTGTCACCCCCCTGACCCAGAAATGGATTAAAGGGTAGAAAATGGATGGATGGATGAAAAGAAAGCTGACACTGAAATTTGTTAAACCTGAGATGAATCATATTTTGATAGTTATCTGGACCTTATAAATAGGACCAACATTGCTAAATGTGAGGGGGGGGGGAAAAAAGTCAAAAATTGCCCAAATTTGGCAAAAATGTGTCTGAATTTAAGCACATTCTGACTGACTGATAATGTTGTTTGAAAAAAAGATTCAGAAATGTCACCCTTGAAATGATAAAAGCAATAGTTCTTGAAGAGACTGAATGGTTCTGAATCTTGTTTTAACGCAGTCAGAATGAACTTAAATTAGGATAAAAAACACTTTATTCAGGCAATTATCACCTCAAATTTGATCATTTTTAGCAGTGAATATAGGGAACAAACAGAGCCCTCTGTCCCACTGAGAAAAAAAACACAAAACCAAAAACAAAACACAGGTGTAATTTAGCCGTTACATATTTGAGAGGACTTCCTCCAAGGACAATATTTGGATAATGACGGTGAAACCAGAGTGAAGCTGCGGCGCTCTCTGATATCTCCTTTATAAACATGTCCTCTTTAATAATAATACATTGTTTGTGTCTTTTGCTCCAAGTGGGAGATAAGTTTGCTGTAGTCCATTATAATGAGATTCGCTCCGGTCTCCCTCTCCGGTCTCTCCCTGGTCTCTCTCTCTGGTCTCTCTCTCTGGTCTCTCTCTCTCTGGTCTCTCTCTCTCTGGTCTCTCTGGTCTCTCTCTCTCCGGTCTCTCTCTCTCTGGTCTCTCTCTCTCTGGTCTCTCTCTCTCTGGTCTCTCTCTCTCTGGTCTCTCTCTCTCTGGTCTCTCTGGTCTCCTCTCTCTCTGGTCTCTCTCTCTCTGGTCTCTCTCTCTCTGGTCTCTCTCTCTCTGGTCTCTCTCTCTCTCAGGTCTCTCTCTCTCTGGTCTCTCTCTCTCTGGTCTCTCTCTCTCTGGTCTCTCTCTGGTCTCCCTCTCTTGGTCTCCCTCTCTCTGGTCTCCCTCTCTCTGGTCTCTCACTCTCTGGTCTCTCTCTGGTCTCCCTCTCAGGTCTCTCTCTCTCTCTGGTCTCTCTCTCTCTGGTCTCTCTCTCTCTGGTCTCTCTCTCTCTGGTCTCTCTCTCTCTGGTCTCTCTCTCTCTGGTCTCTCTCTCTGGTCTCTCTCTCTCTGGTCTCTCTCTCTCTGGTCTCTCTCTCTCTGGTCTCTCTCTCTCTGGTCTCTCTCTCTCTGGTCTCTCTCTCTCTGGTCTCTCTCTCTCTGGTCTCTCTCTCTGGTCTCTCTGGTCTCTCTCTCTCCGGTCTCTCTCTCTGGTCTCTCTCTCTCTGGTCTCTCTCTCTCTGGTCTCTCTCTCTCTGGTCTCTCTCTCTCTGGTCTCTCTCTCTCTGGTCTCTCTCCTCTGGTCTCTCTGGTCTCTCTCTGGTCTCCCTCTCTCTGGTCTCCCTCTCTCTGGTCTCCCTCTCTCTGGTCTCTCACTCTCTGGTCTCTCTCTCTGGTCTCCCTCTCAGGTCTCTCTCTCTCTGGTCTCTCTCTCTCTCTGGTCTCTCTCTCTCTGGTCTCTCTCTCTCTGGTCTCTCTCTCTCTGGTCTCTCTCTCTCTGGTCTCTCTCTCTCTGGTCTCTCTCTCTCTGGTCTCTCTCTCTCTGGTCTCTCTCTCTCCTGGTCTCTCTCTCTCTGGTCTCTCTCTCTCTGGTCTCTCTCTCTCTGGTCTCTCTCTCTCTGGTCTCCCTCTCTCTGGTCTCCCTCTCTCTGGTCCCCTCTCTCTGGTCTCCCTCTCTCTGGTCTCCCTCTCTCTGGTCTCCCTCTCTCTGGTCTCCCTCTCTCTGGTCTCCCTCTCTCTGGTCTCCCTCTCCCTCTCCCTCTCTCTCTGGTCTCTCTTCTCTCCTCTCTCTCTCTGGTCTCCCTCTCTCTGGGTCTCTCTCTCTCTCTCTGGCTCTCTCTCGGTCTCCCTCTCTCTGGTCTCTCTCTCTGGTCTCTGGTCTCCCTCTCTCTGGTCTCTCACTCTCTGGTCTCTCTCTCTGGTCTCCCTCTCAGGTCTCTCTCTCTCTCTGGTCTCTCTCTCTCTGGTCTCTCTCTCTCTCTGGTCTCTCTCTCTCTCTCTGGTCTCTCTCTCTCTCTGGTCTCTCTCTCTCTGGTCTCTCTCTCTGGTCTCTCTCTCTGGTCTCTCTCTCTCTGGTCTCGCTCTCTCTAGTCTCGCTCTCTGGTCTCCCTCTCTCTGGTCTCTCTCTCTGGTCTCCCTCTCTCTGGTCTCTCTCTCTCTGGTCTCCCTCTCTCTGGTCTCTCTCTCTGGTCTCTCTCTCGTCTCTCTCTCGTCTCTGATGATTAGAAAAGTATGAAAGTGTGCAGACTTTGCGTATTTCTCTGTGTTATTTTTTCAGGGCGTAACCACGGCGATAAACGAGGGGCCGCTGTAGTTTGTAAAGTTATAGTAATTCAAGATTGAGTAAAGAAATAGAAAAAACACACTCTCAGCAACAATACCCACTTTAACAAAACAACAAATGACTCCTTTTGGGGCGACGATAGAACCCTCACCTGGTCTCTCTCCAAACGCAGTGCTTCGAACATATACACACTTTATACAATCTTTAGAAAAAAAATTCACATTGTAAAGTCCTGCGGTTTCGAGTCCGTTTAGGGAGGTTTCTCTTGCGTCTGCAGTTGTTCTGGGGTAGTTTGTCAGTAGAACCTCTTGTTTCGCTCCTGTCTCTTCTGGAAGACCACGGCTCCGACCACAGCACACACCACGATGCCCAGGAGAGAACACAGCAGCAGCAGGAACACCTTCCACCCGGTCAGCGCCGTGCCACGGAAGTTACCCGTGGGATCGTCTATGTTGTCTGAGGAGGGGGAGGGGAGGGGGAGGAGAGAGGGGGAGGGAGGGAGGGAGGGACAGGGGGAGAGGGAGCGAGAGGAGGAGAGGGAGGAGGAGAGAGAGGGGGAGAGAGAGGAGGAGAGGGAGAGAGAGAGGGAGGGGCAGGGGGGAGAGGGAGCGAGAGGAGGAGAGGGAGGAGGAGAGAGAGGGGGAGAGAGGGAGAGAGGGGGGGAGAGGAGGAGAGGGAGGAGAGGGAGAGAGAGGAGGAGAGGGAGAGAGAGGGGGAGAGAGGAAGAGAGGAGGAGAGAGAGGGGGAGAGGGAGGGGGAGAGAGAGGGGGAGAGGGAGGGGGAGAGAGAGGGGGAGAGGGAGGGGGAGAGGGAGGGGGAGAGGGAGGGACAGGGGGAGAGGGAGAGAGGGGGGGAGGAGAGAGGAGGAGAGGGAGAGAGAGGGGGAGAGGGAGAGAGAGGAGGAGAGGGACGGAAAGGGGGAGAGAGGGAGGAGGAGAGGGAGAGAGAGGGGGAGAGGGAGATGGAGGAGGAGAGGGAGGGACAGGGGGAGAGGGAGGGAGGGAGAGAGAGAAAGAGGGGGGGGGGAGAGAGGAGGAGAGGGAGAGAGAGGGGGAGAGGGAGAGAGAGGAGGAGAGGGAGGGAAAGGGGGAGAGGGAGGGACAAGGGGAGAGGGAGGGGAGAGAGGGGGAGAGAGAGCGAGACAGAGCGAGGAGAGGGAGAGAGAGAGAGAGAGAGGAGGAGAGGGAGGGAGAGGGAGAGAGAGGAGGAGAGGGAGAGAGAGGGGGAGAGAGGAGGAGAGGGAGAGAGAGGAGGAGAGGGAGAGAGAGGGGGAGAGAGAGAGAGAGGGGGGAGAGAGGGAGAGAGGGGGAGAGAGGGAGAGAGGAGGAGAGGGAGAGAGAGGAGAGGGAGAGAGAGGGGGAGAGAGGAGGAGAGGGAGAGAGAGGGAGAGAGGGAGAGAGGAGGAGAGGGAGAGAGAGGAGAGGGAGAGAGAGGGGGAGAGAGGAGGAGAGGGAGAGAGAGGAGGAGAGGGAGAGAGAGGAGGAGAGGGAGGGGCAGGGGGAGAGGGCGGTAGGGAGAGAGAGGGAGAGAGGGGGAGAGAGGGAGAGAGGGGGAGAGAGGGAGAGAGGGAGAGAGAGGGGGGAGAGGGAGAGAGAGGGGGAGGGGGGGAGAGAGGAGGAGAGAGGGAGATAGAGAGAGAGGGAGAGAGAGGAGGAGAGGGAGAGAGAGGGGGAGAGGGAGAGAGAGGGGGGGAGAGAGGAGGAGGAGAGAGGGAGAGAGGAGGAGAGGGAGAGGGAGGGGGAGAGGGAGAGAGGAGGGGAGGGAGAGAGAGGGGAGAGAGGAGGGAGAGGGAGAGAGAGGAGGGGAGGGAGAGGGAGGGAGAGAGAGGGAGAGAGAGGGAGAGAGAGGGGGGAGAGAGGAGGGGGAGGGGAGAGAGCGAGGGAGAGAGAGGGAGAGAGAGAGGAGAGGGAGAGAGAGGGGGGAGAGAGAGGGAGAGAGAGGGAGAGGGAGAGAGAGGGAGGAGAGAGAGGGAGGAGAGAGAGAGGGAGGGAGAGAGAGGGAGGGAGAGAGGAGAGGGAGAGAGAGGGAGGGAGAGAGAGAGAGAGGGAGGAGGGAGAGGGAGAGAGAGGGAGGGAGAGGGAGAGAGAGAGGAGAGGGAGAGAGAGGGAGGGAGAGAGAGGGAGGGAGAGAGGAGAGGGAGAGAGAGGGAGGGAGAGAGAGAGAGAGAGAGAGAGAGGGAGGGAGGGAGAGGGAGACAATCATGTGTTTAGTCCAAACTGCAGAACAGTAAACACAGACATACAGAGCACATCTGAAGGTCGAAGCAGCTGATTGGACGGTCTCTGATTCTTCTATAATATCACTTCCATCGATAATAAAACATGTTCTGACTGAAGGACACGGACCCAGACGTTAAAGCTGGGGTACTTAACTTTCAAACTACAACAAATATAACTATGTAATTAAATGTGTGGTGTCAAACAATAACATAATAACTAGAACTAATAGTATACTATCTAATGACTAATAATAATCACTATATGTTTTAATTCATGTCAAACTAATCACACATTTGTCCTTTGATTTGGTTTGAAGAGAGACTGGACAAAGCAAAGATTCCCTCCAAAAAGAAACTATGTGGATTGTCTTTTATAGGCGGGAGGGAGAGAGAGGGAGAGAGGGGGGGGGGAGAGGGAGGGAGGGAGAGAGAGAGAGAGGGAGGAGGAGAGGGAGGGACAGAGAGAGAGAGGGAGGAGGAGAGGGAGGGAGAGAGAGAGAGAGGGAGGAGGAGAGGGAGGGACAGAGAGAGAGAGAGGGAGGGAGGGAGAGAGAGAGAGAGAGGGAGGAGGAGAGGGAGGGACAGAGAGAGAGAGGGAGGAGGAGAGGGAGGGACAGAGAGAGAGAGGGGAGGAGGAGAGGGAGGGAGAGAGAGAGAGAGAGAGAGAGGAGGAGAGGGAGGAGAGAGGAGGGAAGAGGAGAGGGAGGGACAGGGGGAGAGGGCGGGAGGGAGAGGGGAAGAGAGGGGGAGAGGAGGATGAGAGGGGGGGAGAGGAGGAGAGAGGGGGGGAGAGGAGGAGAGGGAGAGAGAGGAGGAGAGGGAGAGAGAGAGGGGGAGAGGGAGAGAGAGGGGGAGAGAGGGAGAGAGAGAGGGAAGAGGAGAGGGAGGGACAGGGGGAGAGAGGGGGAGAGAGGAGGAGAGGGAGAGAGAGGAGGAGAGGGAGGCTCAATCTCTGCATAGTTTTTGTAATTCTTTATTTTTATTTTTTTCACAATGTATTCTTGTGTTTCCTGAACCTGGCCTGTAGGGGGCGCATGAGCAGAGGTGGGACAGTGTTGCTCCAGTGGAAACCATGTAAAGTCTGTTTTGGAGTCAAAGGCTCTCCTCCTGTGCGGTGTACGGTTGTTGGAACAGTCTTAATCGGGGACACTCAATTCTAAGGGAGAACTAACAAATATTTCTCAAAAGAGTCTTGATTTCGGGCATTTTTGGAAAAGAAAAACAGAAGAAATGGCTGCGTTTCATTGGGGTGGCCTGCAGGGGGCGCTTATCTGGGAAAGCCTTGATCCACCTCCGCCTCATTCCAGTGATTTTTTCAAAGTGTCCTCCTTTATATGAGACACAGTTGGAACATGAACAAACTCTGGTCTTTCTCTCTATTTGTGCGGTTGCTACAAGCGTACACCGCACACAAAGATGCTTCTTCTTCTACTATATCTCTGTGTGATATAAACCACTTCTTCTTCTACTATATCTCCGTGTACAAACCACTTCTTCTTCTACTATATCTCCGTGTACAAACCACTTCTTCTTCTACTATATCTCCGTGTACAAACCACTTCTTCTTCTACTATATCTCGTTGTGTACAAACCACTTCTTCTTCTACTATATCTCTTGTGTAATAAACACTTCTTCTTCTACTATATCTCCGTGTACAAACCACTTCTTCTTCTACTATATCTCCGTGTACAAACCACTTCTTCTTCTACTATATCTCCGTGTACAAACCACTTCTTCTTCTACTATAATCTCCGTGTACAAACCACTTCTTCTTCTACTATATCTCCGTGTACAAACCACTTCTTCTTCTACTATATCTCTGTGTATAAACCACTTCTTCTTCTACTATATCTCCGTGTACAAACCACTTCTTCTTCTACTATATCTCCGTGTACTCAAACCACTTCTTCTTCTACTATATCTCCGTGTACAAACCACTTCTTCTTCTACTATATCTCCGTGTACAAACCACTTCTTCTTCTACTATATCTCCGTGTACAAACCACTTCTTCTTCTACTATATCTCCGTGTACAAACCACTTCTTCTTCTACTATATCTCCGTGTACAAACCACTTCTTCTTCTACTATATCTCCGTGTATAAACCTCTTCTTCTTCTACTACGTCACCACTGCCCTGACGTCATATGAAACCCAAGAATTGAACTTCTCAATAAAGTAGAAATTACGTGAATTGTCAAATAAGCGATTCTCTTATTGTCAGACGTTTTTTTTTTTACAGTGTATTTTGACCGACCATGTTGTCTTCACCTTTGGGAGACTTGAGCAGACTGACGCTGGGCTCGATCTTGGTCCAGTCCAGGTTCTCCTCCTCTGGGCTGTGCTCCACCATCAGCTGGTAGAGCTTCATGGAGATGACGTCGTGGTTATCTGCGGAAAACAACCAACTCTGTCCGTTATGTCGGTCCAGTCCAGTCCAGTCCAGTCCAGTCCAGTCCAGTCCTAACATAGGATCTATATAAAAAGTCTGTGCCTGTAACATCTTAGACTGTCAGTCAAGCTGCATAGGGCGCCCCCTGCTGGAGAAGTATGGTAACAGCCCTATCTTCTCCTCCTTCCTACTTTATCTGTTTAGCATTATTAGGATTCTGACTGTAGTTTGTTCATTGCTATTCACCCGTTGTCCCATTGTCTGTTTCATGGTACGATGACGGGATCTCTGAGCCTGGCCTCCTCCATCTACACCTGCGGACTGCCCCGCCCGACCCGCCTGGGAGTGCTTCAGTCCTGCACCGGACCTGTCCACGTTCAGCGTCCACTGGTCCACGTCCTGTAGCTAGCTTAGGGTCTGGGTCTACAGCCTCAGTCCTCGTTCTACAGTCTGAGTCCTGGATCTACAGCCTCAGTCCTCGTTCTACAGTCTGAGTCCTGGATCTACAGCCTCAGTCCTCGTTCTACAGTCTGAGTCCTGGATCTACAGCCTCAGTCCTCGTTCTACAGTCTGAGTCCTGGGTCTACAGCCTCAGTCCTCGTTCTACAGTCTGAGTCCTGGATCTACAGCCTCAGTCCTCGTTCTACAGTCTGAGTCCTGGGTCTACAGCCTCAGTCCTCGTTCTACAGTCTGAGTCCTGGGTCTACAGCCTCAGTCCTCGTTCTACAGTCTGAGTCCTGGATCTACAGCCTCAGTCCTCGTTCTACAGTCTGAGTCCTGGGTCTACAGCCTCAGTCCTCGGTCTACAGTCTGAGTCCTGGATCCACAGCCTCAGTCCTCGTTCTACAGTCTGAGTCCTGGGTCTACAGCCTCAGTCCTGGGTCTACAGTCTGAGTCCTGGATCCACAGCCTCAGTCCTCGTTCTACAGTCTGAGTCCTGGGTCTACAGCCCGTCCGTACGTGTGGATGCGGATCCCTCTCTCAATGTGGGTCTCTTCGAGGTTTCCCACTTTTTCCCACTGGGTTTTAGAGTTTTTCATCTAATGCAGGAGTCTGTTACAGATAGTGTCTAATGTATTCAGACCTGAAAAGTCCTTTGCTCCGCTTGCTTGACCCGAATCAAAAGCGGACCAAACTTTTTTCTTTTGCTCCGGTTCGTATTCAGACTGTCCTTTTTGAAAGTGAACTTTTTTATATAAACACATGGATCTATGATAATAACCCTGTCCCACACATGGATCTATGATAATAACTCTGTCCCACACATGGATCTATGATAATAACTCTGTCCCACACATGGATCTATGATAATAACCCTGTCCCACACATGGATCTATGATAATAACTCTGTCCCACACATGGATCTATGATAATAACTCTGTCCCACACATGGATCTATGATAAGCAGAGAGAGAGCAGAGAGAGAGAGAGTGAGCAGAGAGAGAGAGACATGGAGGAGAGAGAGACGTGAGCAGAGAGAGAGAGACACGAGCAGAGAGAGAGAGCAGAGAGAGACGTGAGCAGAGAGAGAGAGACGCGAGCAGAGAGAGAGAGAGAGAGAGAGACGTGAGCAGAGAGAGAGAGCAGAGAGAGAGCGTGAGCAGAGAGAGAGAGACGCGAGCAGAGAGAGAGAGCAGAGAGAGACGTGAGCAGAGAGAGAGAGACGCGAGCAGAGAGAGACGTGAGCAGAGAGAGAGAGACGCGAGCAGAGAGAGACGTGAGCAGAGAGAGAGAGACGTGAGCAGAGAGAGAGCAGAGAGAGAGACGTGAGCAGAGAGAGAGAGAGACGCGAGCAGAGAGAGAGAGCAGAGAGAGACGTGAGCAGAGAGAGAGAGACGCGAGCAGAGAGAGACGTGAGCAGAGAGAGAGAGACGCGAGCAGAGAGAGACGTGAGCAGAGCAGAGAGAGACGTGAGCAGAGAGAGAGAGAGAGAGAGAGAGAGGAGCAGAGAGAGAGAGACGTGAGCAGAGAGAGACGTGAGCAGAGAGAGACGTGAGCAGAGAGAGAGAGACGTGAGCAGAGAGAGAGAGACGTGAGCAGAGAGAGAGAGGCGTGAGCAGAGAGAGAGAGAGAGAGGTGAGCAGAGAGAGACGTGAGCAGAGAGAGAGAGACGCGAGCAGAGAGAGAGAGAGAGCAGAGAGAGACGTGAGCAGAGAGAGAGAGACGCGAGCAGAGAGAGACGTGAGCAGAGAGAGAGAGACGTGAGCAGAGAGAGAGACGTGAGCAGAGAGAGAGAGACGCGAGCAGAGAGAGACGTGAGCAGAGAGAGACGTGAGCAGAGAGAGGCGTGAGCAGAGAGAGAGGTGAGCAGAGAGAGACGTGAGCAGAGAGAGAGAGACGCGAGCAGAGAGAGAGAGCAGAGAGAGACGTGAGCAGAGAGAGAGAGACGCGAGCAGAGAGAGAGAGAGCAGAGAGAGAGACGTGAGCAGAAAGAGAGAGACATGAGCAGAGAGAGAGAGGCGTGAGCAGAGAGAGAGAGAGGTGAGCAGAGAGAGAGAGAGAGACGCGAGCAGAGAGAGAGAGAGGTGAGCAGAGAGAGAGAGACGCGAGCAGAGAGAGAGAGACGCGAGCAGAGAGAGAGAGACGCGAGCAGAGAGAGAGAGATGCGAGCAGAGAGAGAGAGATGCGAGCAGAGAGAGAGAGAGATGCGAGCAGAGAGAGAGAGATGCGAGCAGAGAGAGAGAGATGCGAGCAGAGAGAGAGAGATGCGAGCAGAGAGAGAGAGGCGTGAGCAGAGAGAGAGGTGAGCAGAGAGAGAGAGATGCGAGCAGAGAGAGAGAGATGCGAGCAGAGAGAGAGATGCGAGCAGAGAGAGAGAGACGTGAGCAGAGAGAGAGGGACACGAGCAGAGAGAGAGACGTGAGCAGAGAGAGACGTGAGCAGAGAGAGAGAGACGTGAGCAGAGAGAGACGTGAGCAGAGAGAGAGAGACGCGAGCAGAGAGAGACGTGAGCAGAGAGAGACGTGAGCAGAGAGAGAGAGGCGTGAGCAGAGAGAGAGAGGTGAGCAGAGAGAGACGTGAGCAGAGAGAGAGAGACGCGAGCAGAGAGAGACGTGAGCAGAGAGAGAGAGACGCGAGCAGAGAGAGAGAGCAGAGAGAGACGTGAGCAGAGAGAGAGAGACGCGAGCAGAGAGAGAGAGCAGAGAGACGTGAGCAGAGAGAGAGAGACGCGAGCAGAGAGAGACGTGAGCAGAGAGAGAGAGACGCGAGCAGAGAGAGACGTGAGCAGAGAGAGAGAGACGTGAGCAGAGAGAGAGAGCAGAGAGAGACGTGAGCAGAGAGAGAGAGACGCGAGCAGAGAGAGAGAGCAGAGAGAGACGTGAGCAGAGAGAGAGAGACGCGAGCAGAGAGAGACGTGAGCAGAGAGAGAGAGACGCGAGCAGAGAGAGACGTGAGCAGAGAGAGACGTGAGCAGAGAGAGAGAGCAGAGAGAGACGTGAGCAGAGAGAGAGAGACGTGAGCAGAGAGAGACGTGAGCAGAGAGAGAGAGGTGTGAGCAGAGAGAGACGTGAGCAGAGAGAGAGAGGCGTGAGCAGAGAGAGAGAGAGAGGTGAGCAGAGAGAGACGTGAGCAGAGAGAGAGAGACGCGAGCAGAGAGAGAGAGCAGAGAGAGACGTGAGCAGAGAGAGAGAGACGCGAGCAGAGAGAGAGACGTGAGCAGAGAGAGAGAGACGTGAGCAGAGAGAGACGTGAGCAGAGAGAGAGACGTGAGCAGAGAGAGAGAGCAGAGAGAGAGACGTGAGCAGAGAGAGAGGGAAACGAGCAGAGAGAGAGACGCGAGCAGAGAGAGAGAGACGCGAGCAGAGAGAGAGAGACGTGAGTCCGCGTGTCTATGGTCCGCGCTCGGAGCCCAGACGGCAGTGCGTTCACTGAGCTGTCAGAGCGGGGGTCACAGCAGCTGCTCTCGGGGCCAGAGCGGAGGATGTAACGTAACGTTCGGTTTATCAAAACATATCACAATATTTAACGTATAACACTAGTGAATTTCACCTAGATTTTTTCAGACATTAAAGACAAGATGTTATATAATAATTGTTTAATGAAAAAACAATTTTGCCACAAGCAACCAAAAGATGTGCCTCAGACAAGAATCGAACCTGGGTTCTCCAGGTCCCTGTATTTAATGCTATCCATTCGGCCAACAAAGCACCTCTGGGCTAGACAGGTTTGCACGCAGTCTTATACCTGAGCGTCTAAGTCGCTGGCAGAGCTAAAGCGGACTTAGCCTGCCACCTTGTGGCGATAAGATGTACTATTTTTCACGCAGCTGCGTGATTCCCGAGAAGCGTGAATGAAGACGACAAAACGGAATGGGACCTACTGTACAGCTGTGGTTCTGGACACAGCTGTACAATGTGGTTGTTTGTTGATCTATAGCATAACAACCTGGAGAGCACAGGGATGGAGAGTAAAGGCACCCTACTGACCTCTCTTACAGCAACTGGGTCACAACTATCCATCCATCCATCCATTTTCTTCCGCTTTATCCGTTGCCGGGTCGCGGGGGCAGCAGTCTAAGCAGAGACGCCCAGACTTCCCTATCCACACACACTTCCTCCAGCTCGTCCGGGGGGACCCCAAGGCGTTCCCAGGCCAGCTGAGAGACATAGTCCCTCCAGCGTGTCCTAGGTCTTCCGCGGGGCCTCCTCCCGGTGGGACGTGCCCGAAACACCTCCCCAGGGAGGCGTCCAGGAGGCATCCGGAACAGATGCCCGAGCCACCTCAACTGGTTCCTCTCGACGTGGAGAAGCAGCGGCTCTACTCCGAGCTCCTCCCGTGTGACTGAGCTCCTCACCCTATCTCTAAGGGAGCCCCCAGCCACTCTGCGGAGGAAGCTCATTTCGACTGCTTGTATCCGCGATCTCGTTCTTTCGGTCATTACCCAAAGCTCATGACCATAGGTGAGGGAGGGAACGAAGATTGACCGGTAAATCGAGAGCTTTGCCTTTCGGCTCAGCTCCCTCTTTACCACAACGGTCCGATACAGCGACCGCATCCTCTGCGCATACAGCGACGCATGCACCGCATCGATCCGCCTGTCAATCTCACGCTCCATTCTTCCCTCACTCGTGAACAAG